GACCAAAAATGTGCAACTAACTAAAATTGAGGGACCAATTTAACATTTAACCTTTTTTTATCCTTAACCTGAATTTTTAAAATATTTTGTTTTAAACTAAAAAAAATAAAAATAATTAAATTAATTTTACAACATAGATTTGTGAGGGTGGGGAATTCCTTGCGGGCCCATTTCCCGTAGATAATAGGTATATGAGACAAATTGTGCCTGTCAAAAATTCTTGTGGGATAATTGCAGGGATGAGAATGAAGAGGCACTCCTCATCCCGGAGGGTCATTGCCATCCCGTATTTACTTTATATGAAAAAGGCATAACTACCATATTTTATTATATAATTCTTCTTCTGGTAAACTTTTGTAGGCTAAATTTGAAACTAAACATACAAAAAAAAGAAAAACTATAGCATTTTTTCTAAACAAATTCACCATAATCTTTCCTTCTTGGTCAACTTTATATATGAAAAAAAAGGTCCATGTGTAAACAACAGAAAAAATTTTGAATTTCAACTCGAGGCAAGACCATAATTTAGTCATTTTCACATAATATATAAACCTTAAAAAATATGTAATCAATGTGTCCATGGGGAAGAACGCAGCCATGGGAAGGCTATGCTCTGTTTTCCTCATTTTATTTCTCCACGTAACCCTAATTGCATCGAGCTGCCAAGGAAGAAAACCTAAGGAGCAGCCTGCGAAGAAGCATCGGACCGCCTTTTTCATCTTCGGAGATTCATTTTTGGATGTTGGTAACAACAACTTCATCAACACCACAACCCTGGACCAAGCAAATTTCTGGCCCTATGGAGAAACTTACTTCAAGTTCCCCACCGGACGTTTTTCCGACGGGCGTTTACTACCGGACTTCATTGGTGAGAGCTAGGCAAAATCATTGTTTCCTGGTTTTGTCCTCTTTAATTACATAATCTTCCTGTTTCATTCTCAACATTTTCTTTTCTAATTTTCCATTTTGAAGCTAAATATGCAAGGCTGCCATTGATTCCACCGTTTCTACAGCCGGGTTTGCACCGGTATTACAATGGAGTAAATTTTGCGTCTGCCGGAGCTGGTGCTTTGGTTGAAACGTTTCAAGGAGATGTACGTATAATGCGCTTACAAGTTACAATTTCTTCTTGTTCTAGTTTCTCTTTTTTATTTTGGATTTTATTTCTTTTCAAGTCTGTTAACCAAGATTCAATTCTTCATAAGGTAATGCGTAAATAATGTTTAACAAAATTTTTTGGGTACATTTAAATGGTTTATACAAATGAGAATGGCCTTTTTTTTTTCCTAAATTCCTTTCTATTTAACTTAAGGTTCGAACCGAAAATCTCTAATTTGAAATCTCTAATTTTTAATCATTGAATCATCCATTGAAGTTGTTTAACAATTTTTTTTAGTTGTGATGTGCTGCATGAATTGAATCAGAAAGCTGATGTTAGGCAGAAACAAAACCTAATATAATACTAAACTACAAAAAGAGGAACAGGGGTAAGAAGACAAGGCCTTTATGGTGTGTACAAGTTAGAAAACTCGGTATGGTGTTGACTCCATAACTTGTGTGGACCATAAACTTTGGTTGAGACAAGTTTACTTTATTACAAGTTGGATGCACATGCACATGCACCTAAATTTTGGGTCCACTACTGCCTCCCTTGATTTGTCAAACATCAATTCAGCTTTCTCTAAAACTTATCTGCTTTCCTATTCCCATCTCATATGTTCCCTAAAACATCACAAAATCAACCATAAAAATGATTATGCAAAATTCCAAGGTCAACAAATTACAACCATGGATTCCATTGCATTTGAAACATTGTTAATTATATTTTCTTTCTATTTTTCAGGTGATTGGTCTGAAAACACAACTAAGATACTTCAAGAAGGTGGAGAAGAGGCTGAGGAGGAAATTGGGAAATGATGAAGGGAAAATGACAGTATCAAAAGCTGTCTATTTGTTCAGCATTGGAAGCAATGATTACATGAGCCCTTTCTTGACCAATTCCTCTACACTTAACACCTACACTTACTCCACATTTGTTGGAATGGTAACTGGGAACTTGACATCAATCATCAAAGTAAGTACTACTGCTTGTTGATATATACATATATATATATATATATATATTTAGGTATGTGTGTTGGTTGCATTGTGGAAGCTAAACGAGTTGGATTAATATGATAGGAAATTTATAAAAGGGGAGGAAGAAAATTTGCATTCATAAATCTGCCGAATTTGGGTTGTCTTCCGGCTATGAGAGTTATTGAATCAAGGAACAATGGTAGCTGCTTGGAAGAGGCTTCATTTCTTGCAACAATGCATAATAAAGTTCTCAAAAATCTACTCTCCAGGTTGGAGAAAAGATTGAAAGGGTTCAAATATTCTCTATTTGATTTGAATACCAATCTCAGACAAAGAATGCTTCATCCTTCAAAATATGGTACGTTTGATTCTCACCCATTTTTGAATTATGGGCTCAAGTCCAATGAGCTGGAGTATGGGGCTAGGCAAAGGCCCAGCCCATAATGCATATTTCTAAACCTGATTTTATGTCATTAAAATTTTTAAAATATTGTCAACAAAGCCATACAAAAATAGCACACCAGGTATTCAGATTAGCTCAATTGGTAAGATTTGAATTATTTAATTTTCACTGCAATATAGGATTTGACTGTAAAACAAAAAAAATGTCCCTATAATTATATTTTATATATTTCTAGTAGATTTCCAATTGAATTGGATGGAAAACTTGTTTGATGTAGGTTTTAAAGATGGGGAGGCAGCATGCTGTGGGACAGGGCAATTCAGGGGAGTATACAGCTGTGGAGGTAAAAGGACAGTAAAGGAGTTTGAGCTGTGTGAGAGTCCAACTGATTATGTCTTTTGGGATTCCTTCCACCTCACCGAACGGGCTTACAGGCAATTGGCAGATAAAATGTGGAGTGCAACAAACCACTCTCATGATGTTGGTCCTTTCTGCGTCAGAAAATTATTCCAAATTCAATAAGCATATTATTCCAAAACAAGAGTTTTTTTTTTTTTTTTTCCTTTACCAACAAAATACCCTATAAATAAATCGAAAACCAACTATTCCTTGTTTGTTTTCGGGGATTCACCATCTGTGCCTTGTCAAATTATCTAAATGGCGCCTGCTATAAAACCTCCTTCAAGTATGCCGAGGAAAGATTTATGTATATCATAATTAATTTTATTTTTTATAAACTCATATGTTAAGAATGAAGAACTTATGATATGTTAATTTTCAGATTGAATATATATGTTGACGTCATGTATTATATGTTAGAGAGTTTTATGTGGGCTGTTGTTAATTGTATTTGGTTTTCAAAATTAGGTCAATTGAAAAACCGTTAAAACTCAACAAAGTAATGTGATCTAAGTGGGCTTAAGTTTTATCTCAATTTTATATGGTATGATATAAATAAGTATAAGACCTGAAATTAAAGGTGGGTTATTTGATGAGAGTATCTAAAAGATTATTATAATGGACTAAGTCTCTTCTCCCATTGAAAAAACCCTACCTTTATAAATAGGAGAGTTAGGGAGTGGCATGACTTATTGGTTGTTACTATATAGAAGTTGAATAGGGAGAGGATGACCTAAATCCCAATATTAATTATATTTGTTTTGTAGATTTTATCATGAGATCTCTAATTATGATAATTCTTAAAGATTTTTAAGTAATATATTGATTATGGAGATTTAGGTATACAATTTATTTATTTTATTAGATCTTAATATCCTAAATCTTAAGTATGTTGATTCTTAAAAATTTTAACATGTGGTATCAAGGCAGATTATATGTAAGTTTAGGATTTAAGAATTTATTTTATATTATTTTGTTTGTTGTTGGACGAATTAAGAAAGCCTGCATCTTTTGGGTGTGTATGATTAATTAAGATTAAACGTTTGGGTTCTATTAAGAAGAGAATCTAGGAATAAATTCATATGAAATTTGTGTTAGATTATATTGTGCATAAAGAAACCATTAATCACAGTTTTTGGTATAAACATTATTTTTGAATTTCGCTTCCTCTCATTCTAGATGCTGCAATTGTTTAAACTTGGTGTTGGAGTACAATTCATGATGATTTCCAACTAGTGTTAAGATCTTGTCTAGCATCAATAGTGTTTAATCAGTATTGATTTGTAAGGATTTACTCAACTTTGTTAAATTCGACACATGAGCCTGAAAATTTAAAACTGATGTTGTAACTTCATGAAATTATTATTACTATCATTATTTAGGGCCTGTTTGGTACAGCGGTTAAAATTCAGTGGATAGCGGATAATAGGTAGCGGATAGCGGATAGTAGGTAGCGGATAGCGGATAGCGGATAGCGGTAGCAGGTGGCGGATAGTGGAAAATGGATAGCGGATGGTAAATAACGGATTCGATAAATATAATTGTTTGGTTATATAATAATTAGCGGTTGTTGTTTAATATTAAATGACTAATAAGGACATATTTAAAAAAAAATTAGTGTATTTTTTAAAATATTTTTATATTTTATTATTAAAATTATTAATTTT